TGAGTAGATATCCCATGAACAAAGTCATAGCTTCGTCCTCAGTTTGATATGAAGTACAAAAAAGAATTAAAGGTAATAAAGTAGGCAATGTGGTAAAAAAGAAGAAACTAGTTTTTCGAGAGTCTGTAGATCTCAATCCAGAGAGAGAGAGAGTTGCAAAACTTGTACAGAAGGGGGTATTGGAAAACAACATGCCTGTGATACATTAAAAGATGCGGTATTTTCCTCTGAAGCCCCAAACTGACGTGTGTACGGAATAGACAACCACATGAGAATGATCTACAATAACAAAAACGATCCTTGTTCTGTCCTACCCCACATAAACGGCAATGAAGTACAAAGCATGGTCACAATCGATAACCAGACATGGCGACCACTACCTGCATGCAGAAGATTGACGCAGGACCATTACATCAGTAAGAGTGCAACGTACGGGGTGTGCGTTAATCTGACTCTGTACTCTGCGATTCTCTCGAATGACAGCGACTCTGCGGGTATGCAGACTACGAATAGCGTCAGAAAGGACCGTGTACCCCTTCTTGGTCGTTTTCCCCATGATGGACACCACTCTTTCACGTGCAGCGATATCCTTGTCCACTGTCTGTCTGTGCACGTCCGCCTGCTGTCGCGCCAACTCACACGCAGCGCCACACCGCATATTCGCGCACTCTTGGTTGGATTGTGTCACTGCAACTGTGTGCTCGGGCATTGCTCCAGTGATAGCCTTCATGCGAGTCTCGCAGGTGTTGCTTGCTGCTCTCTTGCATTTACCCAGTGTTGCGTCGAAGGCGGCGGTTCGCAAGCCTCCTGGAGCGCCCCCTGATAATCCCGCCCCCGCCCCCTTGCTAACCCCTTCCGTCTCGCCATGTGAGTCTACCCTCTCCTGACCATCTTCACCTTGTTCCCATTCCGTGCCGGGATCCTCAGCTGCGTCAAGTTCACAGTCACTGTGTCGGTATCCTTCTCCACCTGGTCGAGGGCGTCATATCACGACTGCCGCGAAACAAAATCCACATTGTATCTCTTGCGCTTCGTGTGACATGTCCCAGTAGCTTGGGAGACCATTTCTCATGGATCTTCAGCCTGCGGTAGAAGCCCAAGGCTTGATGGAACATCCCCTTGCACTGCTCTTCATCGCAATTGAAACCTTTCTCCCACATGCGATCTGCCACCATCTTCCAAAAACCTGCTTTCTCACGCACCCTTCCCATTGCCTCAGTATCATCACCCATAACCTCCTTCATTTCATTGCGGCCCCGACAGAGCACCGTTGTCTCGTCCTCCCGCCCCCTTTCCGTGTTTTTCGGAGCATCCACCTGCCACACTTTTCCTCGCTCCTTTGTGCCCTCAGTTGACAACCCGCCGCCTTCGCCGCCATCACTGCGTTGTGCCTGGGAGGCAGTATGGCCCGCCGGGGGAGTCGTTGCCTGTCCACACCGAGGCTGCTGTGGTGTGACAGGAATCAGAGATGTGTGGTGATGGCTAGAGGATGGGGGAGTGCCGACCCCTCCGCGAGCAAGGCTTGACAACCCTTCACCTTCGACAGCACCGGCTTCGATGGCGGGCACCAATCGGTTGAGGATGTAATCAGTTGCCGGAGTATGTGTCTCATGTAGCGCCACTCCTTCGCTGTTGACTGCTGCACATTGTGGTGTGACACTCTGCACGGTTGGAGGATGTCCCGATGGTGAATCCACTGCAGTGGAACATCCCAGGTTCGACAGATGCAGTGGAATGGGCCCACGGTTCGCCGATGGCACAGGGGGCACCGTGGGACTGAGACTGCGTCGGTCCTCATGGCGCAGTGAGACATGCCTTACGTGCTCTGCAACATGCGCAATCCCATCCTGTGACTGGCCCTCCGCCATGGCCATTGCGCGTATCCTCAACTGCATCCTCAGCGAGTTCTCATCTTGACCACCAACCCCGTACCTGATGCCTGATATGGGACTGAAATCAATCGTGGAACCTGCAGGGCCGGTGCGAGCGGCAGGCTCCTGCGCATCCAGCAATGGTTGTGTCACATCAAAGTTTAGAGCTCTGGATGGACGTGACAGACCGGCCCGCAGACAGATGGAGCACCGGACACTGGTCCACAACAATGCAACCTCGGCACCTGCGTGCCAAAGTGTCATCTTGCAAAGCTGGAGATCCGGTCCCACAGAAATCGTCCCCTCCCCCCCCCACCAGATTGAGTGAAATAGTGGGGTAAGGAACCGACTCCTGGCCCTCACATGGCAACTTTCAGATGCCAAGAATACGGAGTTCCATATTGAGACTCGGAGAAGGTCCAGTCTAGATACAGGACAGGCCCCCAGGATCATTATTGGTACCCATGGACTGCTGAGATCTCGGACGGAATGTAATGGTAATGGCAAACCACCACCCGTGCAGCAACAGCGATGGCGTCAACACCAACTGCCTTTTGAAGCACGACGCTCAAAACTGAAAAACACAAAGGTCCAGAGTACCTTTTGTCTTCGTACACTGAAATGACAAGTCCTCCCCGTGTTTATATGTACAGAGCGTGGTACTGGACCACCTACTGGACTCTGCCGTGAAACGGCCTACAAAATCGAGGAGGCACACGATGCGTTTCCACACGGGTTCAACTTTGCCGTTTAGGAAAGTCCACTTCCGCGGGTTGCTACCTCCATCCAGTGTCCTATGCGCCACCTACTGGACTCTGCCGATTGTATTTGCGGCAAAACGGGGACCAGGTACACGACCCCCCGTCTGCACCTCCGTACTTACCGTCAACATTCATATTTGCTATTTAAAGAAGCCCATGATGAGAGGCCGAAAAAAGTGGATGTCAGAGGTCGCGGACGATTTCATTTTCCGAAGTTGGCAATCGCCTGCGAAGTCTTGAAAACGCCCCCCCCTTTTCGAGTCTGCGAAACGAGACTCCGAAATAATTTGTTTCAAAAATAACACAAAACAAAGTGAATGATTTGCGGGATTGGTAGAAAGGAAGTAGATTTCCACAAGAGAAGGCCATGGAAGGTTGTCCCTGGATACGGCATGCTATCCACGGCCCTGCGGCATCACGAGTTGCCACACGCGATCGAAATCCTCACCAACTCGTGATTTACTTCGCTAGTGGGTCCGACGTCAGGGACTGCTCTGGATGAAGAATTGATGAGAAAACTAACAAAGGGAACAAGATATTGGGATGACGCATTGTCTGTCGGGATGAGTGCCTCCCCAGATAGGAATGCACTCGAGAGCAAACAAAGCAGCGGCATCTTGATGCCACTTATGGTCATTGCCCCAGCATCAGCAAGCTTGCTACAGTGACAGAGAATGTACTGCAGGGCCGTGCAGGCCACCAACAAAGATTTAGGGGAAAGTAGGAAAAGCGAGGGATTTCGAATTGGGGAAGGGGGAAGCAGAATGAAGAAAGATAAGGCCTATGTCTCATATCACATGGTGTTGCCATGGATGGCCAGGAATGCATTATCTTTGGGGGGTCCTAAATTTCCACAAGAACGGAGGGAGAAGGATGACATGGAACTGAAGCCGTTAATTTTCTTTTTGTGTTACGGATTGTTTTGGAATTAACTGAAAGAGAGGAGGGGAGATCAGGGTCTTCACAACTACCCTCGATTTCTGTTGGCACTCACAGCAAACTTAAATAATGCTCCAACTTGCCTGAAGCCACACTGCAGCAATGCCATAATTCTACATCACAGCAGCTATACTGATTGATCCGAAGCCGGGTAATGGCCCCAGTACTTTCCCGAGTGTTGTAGTCTCTGAACACCGGCTGCTGGACCCAGTTTCCAGCAGGTGCACCTCCCTGCCAAATAGACAGGAGCCATTTGCCGGGAGAGTATCACAGGGGGATGCTTGTATCACCCCCTGTGGCAGTCCCCCACGGATGTTTAAAAAAGAAAAAAAAAACTTAGGTCTGGACCCCACAGGCGTGCGGAAAAGCGTATGGATTGGCGCATAGGGTTTTTTTCAGACCCCACAGGCCGCAGGGAGCGGCCAGGAAAACTTTGGGCGGACGTTTTCACATAGGGTCATGATGGGAAATTCCTCCGTGGCACTCCAGTTTCCGAAATATTGTGCCAAGACAACATGGTAGCCCCGAGGCTACTCTCTTGATTCAGCCATCCCGTCCAGAGGAGGCACAGGGATTGGACGGTGTGCTGAAAAAGAGGAGGCACACTTGCCTGAAAGAGCAAGTCTTCCTGATCTGGTAACCTAAACCCGCGGACGTGCCGAAATCTGCTATGGCAGTGGAGTCCCATTTCTCTTGCCCATTACCGACGGCTACGATTTGTGCTGGCGGATGCTTTCCAGGCGCAAGGATGCCGCGAGCCTGTGGGGTCCAGCCCTTAAACCAGTAGTACATGGGCACCTGGGCTGCACGGGTCTGACACCTCAAGTTCCGGAGACGCAAAATGAAAACGGGGCCACCGATCGAATTTATCAGCGTCGGGCCCAGCGTTTGACGTTTCCGCCTCGTTTTCTTCTGGCGACAAGTTTCGGACTGCAAGGCTGGGGCCGTGTACTTGTGGTTAACGCAGTGCGTTTCCTTCAGTACTCACAGTGCGTCCTTGCGCTGGCTTTGAGTCTGGCCAGTGTTTTCCCTGCAATGGGGCCAGGGCCTTGGTGGGTCAGGAGGGGCTCAAAGGCTAGTCGGGGCATCTGTAAACAGTGGAGCCCTTCTCAAGATTCAAACAGTCACAAGTCAGCTCAAACAAACAGCCACAATGTTCAGGGAAGCTGGACCCGGTTTCCAGCAGGTGATGCTCCCCACCAATAGATGGAGCCTCCCCGGGAATGCTAGCTGTGACTGCTCTTATCAGCACCCCTAGCATTAGGGCCTCGCCACACCACTATAGAATCTCGAAAAAATTTGAGGGCTGTCAGAACTTYTCGAGAGGACGGTTTTCGAGAGGAAAAGGCCCTTTGCCACATAGCACACTCGACATTTTTCCTCTCGAACGTGGATGCTCTCGGCGGCCCGATTCGATAGTGTTGTGTGGCGGAGCCAACTCTCGAATTGGAAGTGTGTCCATTACGTTCCGCCTCTCGAAGAAGGCGTGTTTTGGAGAGTGCTTCAGAGATTGCGCTGTTCTCCTCGGGCGCACTACCATCCAAACGATGGCGCAGCCATCAGAAAAATGGCCTGACAGCTCTCGAAATGGACCACGAACTCGAGCGCTGACGGGCGGTATCACGAAAACCCCGAAGCTGCAGGCTGGGCTCAAACATCGTTTCGAGAAGGCCATCGAAACCGGCTTTCTGACAGCTCTCGAAGAGATCCGAGGTTTTTTTTTCGGGAGGCTGTGTGGCGGTGCCCAACTCTCGAATTTTCGAGATTCAAGAGTGGTGTTGCGAGGCCCTTACCTTGGGTGTTGTCCTTCGGGACATCCGTTAAAATTGGAACGATACAGAGAAGATTAGCATGGCCCCTGCGCAAGGATGACACACATAAATAGAGAAATGGAAAAAAAAAAAAAAAAAGGAAAAAAAAAGGATTCGAAGAAACAGAGCACTGCTGCCATTGTGATTCTCAAGAATCTCAAGAATCTCAAGAATCTCAACGAAATAATCATTGCCTAAATAATAATAATAATAATAATAAATCATTGGCTGTGCTATCGTGGAGATGCCTGCTCGCACTCACCAGTGAGACGTCAGATTACATATTATTTAAAATCATTTTGGGATTACTCGAAGGAGAGGAGATTGGAGTCCTCACATCTACCCAGACAAACGCAACCAGTGCTCCAAAATTCCTTCAACTCTCACACTAAACTATGCATGCTGTGGGGGCCAGTGCACTGGCTCGAAGTCCGCCCAGTGTTTTGACTGCAATGGGCCCGTGGCCTTAAGGCGGGTCCAAAGGGACTCAGAAGCCTGGTACGGCAATTCTAAGCAGAGTAATTCCAATTTCCAAGAAATTTGAAGAAACACTGTGTGTTGCTGCCACCACTGTTCCTGACCTCTAACTTGGTTGTCAAGAATCTCAACTGAACAACCATTGGTTGTGGTACATGGAGATGGCCGCTGGCAAGTGGGACCTCACCCCAGAATAAAAGTGAGGCCCCAGAGTAACACAGATATGGGACGTTGATCCTCTGTAATCTGAGGACAGCACCTCTTAATCCATGCAAGTGGGACCTCACCCCAGAATGAACTGGAAATTGCAATTTTGACTCTCTGAAATAAAAGGATTCACCCTTCTCCCATCTCCCCCCCTCCCCCTCCCCCTCTTCCCCTATCTTCCAGGACGTCAAACCACCAGCGCTTCCCGGCCACTTACTTCCGAAGCTCCAAATGCCCTGCGCGCCAAGCGTTGTCGAACCGCCAGCATTAAATTTTTCTTTTCTTTTGGCTGGCACCGCCAGCTATTGTGGTCCGGTAGCACTGAAGCCCGGGCCTGGCGGCCGATGTATCGCCAACCACTGTCTTTTTTTGTTGTTTGTTTGTTTGTTTGTTTGTTTGTTTGTTGAAAACAACACTAGTATTCACAGCTAGCAGTGATGACAAGAGCATACACCACTAGCTGCTTTACTAGTGACTCCGGTCGTGGGTATAAAGTCTCCTTTCAAAAATCCCTGTTCTCGCAGTGTACTTAACAATTTCCTGATGGGTGCATGCAACACCAATCTTTTCCTTCTTTCGTACCTTCTGCTTTTACCACGCGATATTTATGCTTCTCCAGTCTCAAAGCCACACCCTTCCTGTGAGTTTATTCCATATGCAATCCCAACGTCTCCACAAGAGAACAGCACCAGGGCATTGCATAAAGATGTGTTCTATTATCTTGCAAAATTTCCAGCTGGGAAATGACGACAAACAAAATGTACACCATGGGACACCAAGGTCTTTTTGCTCTCATGATGAATGGTCAATGAGCCAATCATTTGTGGGCAGACAATGGTGAGTTATCTGGCAAAGTAAGGAGGCGAAATTTGTCGGGTCTTGTTTACAATATTAAAAAAAAATAATCTTTTTAAGCAGGTTGATGTCAATATTCAAATGACGTGCCCATCTTTCTTGTATTATTGCCAAGACATCCACTTTAGGTCTCAACATCCTATATGTGGATTTGACCAAGAGTGAAAGACGGATTCGTGGTTTTTCTTTCTTGTAGGTCTGCCAAATTCATTCCTCTGGATCAAAAGGGAGGGTTGGGATAGGGAGTTCTGGGTGGAAGACCATCCATGCTTTAACTGAAGGGACATATAGAACCCTGATCCGATACATTGTAGAAAAA